CTGATGAACGCCCTTACACCTGTGATGTATGTCAGAAAGCTTTCAGAAGACAAGATCATCTCAGAGACCACAGGTATGATATTTATCGTTTACTTAAGGCAAATATATGACATTCATTGTCAAATCAAAAACACTTGGAGCTTGTATGAAGCATCATTTATAACATGGCTATTTTGAGTTTAAACGTGTATGTAATTATTGGTTTCTTTAGTTTCATTATTAATTCAAAACTTTACCTGTGTATAAATAAACAAGGCAAAACTAGACTTTTGATTAAAAAATGTTATTAAAACTTGTAATCCATAAAACTAAGTGTAATGTGAAATAGAGTGTTTTCACTAAAACTATTGATTTATATAATAGACAAGGATTACTTACAGAGAAATACCAATTGTCACTAGTTCTATATTAATAATTTTATGAATCTAATTACACTACCCTTTACTTCGCTGCGGGTAAGGTTATCCAATTAAATCTGGGCAGTAGTTGTTAGGTTTAATAGTCTTGCAATATTATTGCCTGGGAAATAGTTTGTGCAATAGTTTGTCAGCGTTGGTGATCTTGCAATATTATTTTCTGTGCAATAACTTGTACAATAGGTATCAGCTTTAATGGTTCTGCACTACTAATTCCTGGGTAGTAGTAGTCTGTGTAGCAGTTTTCAGCTATAATGGTCATGCAATGAATTGTTTTGTATCTGAAAAAAAAAGAAGTTTGTTTCTCTAAACAACTTCTTAAGGTTTTACTTTCGACACTTGAAGTATTTGTATGTCACATTACTGCGTCGTTATGTTAGAATGGATCTTTAATGTTTCTTCCATCAATTAATTAACTAACTGCAGTTTTGTCAATTTGAAATTTAGAATTTTTTTGATCTTAAAATGTATATATGATTTGGTTACGAAATAGTAAGGTTAAAACCCTTATTTTTTACCGTGTATTAATATAGATTTTATGCTTTAATCGTGTGTGAAATACAAAAGAGTAAAGCATATTATAATTTTTTTACTAGTATGTATGAAATGTTAATAGTGGATATAAAAATAATATGTTACTTGTAGATATAAAAATGGTGATAAGTTAGTTGTAGATATAACAACAATGTTACCTGTAGGTATAACAGTACCAATATGTTAGCTATAGGTAGTGGCATGTTACTTTGTAGTTACGCATCTATTATTAATACTTAAAGTTCGTCAATTCAGTGAGTGCTCAAGGTTTTTAATCTACTTTTAGATACATTCATTCGAAGGAAAAACCGTTCAAGTGTTCAGAGTGTGGAAAAGGCTTCTGTCAGTCTAGGACTTTGGCGGTTCACAGGATTCTCCACGTGGACAGTTCTCCTCATAAGTGCCCTACCTGTGATCGTGTTTTCAATCAGAGGAGCAATCTGAAAACACACCTTCTCACTCACACCGACCTCAAGCCTTATAACTGTAGTCTCTGCAGCAAAATATTTCGTAGAAAATGTGATCTTCGTCGTCATAGCTTAACACATAAACTGTAAAGTGGGGATCAATTTTCCATCAGTGAGACTTAAACTCACCGGTCAGCGCTATGAAAAAAACAACACTGAAAGACAAAGCTCTTCACAAACAGTGCATGGATGACATTTATTTGTCACAACTGGTTGTTTGTCAGATGATATATATATAAGCAAAACACAATAAATTAGAAGTTAATACTTTTTACATATGTATTTTTCATATACACTCAAAAACATTATGTAAAAAAATTGATTTGTTGAACTATTGACGATGGACTTGATTACAAAATATGAGGAATCGAGAAGATATCGATATGAGTAATCATATATCATTCTCTTACGTGTACTCCAGTGCGTTCACGGTGAGCACGAGCTTAAGCATCGTATTTACTTGTACAAAGACACGAAATAAAGCAGTTTCCTGTGAACAGTATTTTTGTACAAGTATTTATTCTTTCTTCGAGTAGGACAAGTGAATAAAAGAATCTGAACGGACCTGAATATCATTCTCTCTATGAAACTTTTCTTCTTCTGATACTGATGCTGAACGGACCTGAATATCATTCTCTCTATGAAACTTTTCTTCTTCTGATACTGATGCTGAACGGACCTGAATATCATTCTCTCTATGAAACTTTTCTTCTTCTGATACTGATGCTGAACGGACCTGAATATCATTCTCTCTATGAAACTTTTCTTCTTCTGATACTGATGTATTCCTGTCTGAACGGACCTGAATATCATTCTCTCTATGAAACTTTTCTTCTTCTGATACTGATGTATTCCTGTAACTGAATTAGTTTCTCACCCGGTTGTCTGTCCGGAGGTTTTCAAAAAATATCACTCACCAATAACAACCAATCGGAAAATATAAATGTTGGCTCTTTAGATTAAGGCCAATTTATCTAATATACTTAAATTACTACTGACCTAATTATTTTTATGCTGAATATGTAAACGTGAATGAAAAACTTTAATTTGCATAAATACATACATACATATATCTTATACTTTATATATCTTCAGATGAAGAACTATTAATTCCTTTTTTTTTTACGTTTTCTGTCAACTTGTGACAAGAACTCAGCGACTGTTCATCGATGTACTGATACCAGTGATTAAAAAAAAATGTGCACTTTTAAAATGCTTTATTTTATGGTAGAATACTAGTTACAAAATGAAATATTTTATTTTCCGTAATAGTTAAGCTTCGTCCACCAGTAATAGTCCTTAAGTGCTGTGAATATCAAAGTCTCTGTTTTTCAAACTCACCATTTCTTAACAATGTTTTTGTGAAAGTTAGGCCTACTTTTCCCTAATAATTGTTTCGTGTTTGTCAAAGTCACTGCTTCTTAACTGCTTGTTTAATTGTGCATATTGCGTTAAGTTAAATAACGAAGTTGATTAAAATTTTTCATATGACTGTTGCCACCAGCAACCGCTATATACCTTAATTGTGACTAAGAATGACGAATAAACGATTATCTCCCTCATCTTTATTGCACGTTTTTACACAACAGAGACACATACTTATCTATTCCATTTTCAAAAACACCGGTGTTTTATTTTGAAGGTTGTAACTTTTACTTTATACAGTTTTACTTAGTAAATATCACTGATGTAAAAACAAAGATATGAAACGACAACAGAAATCTTCTTTCATAAACATTTACTTCAAATTGTTTTTTGTTTTGAAGAACTCGAATTTGATTCAACTATTTCAAATAATGTCTTCACATTGACTGTTCTTATATAAAACGATCAAATTATTCTTAGTAATATATCTGTTATTATAACACAATAAGGTTTAAAATAATTTAATCACATCATTCTTTACCGGCCCAGTGCAAAATTCCAGTAAGAAGTGTGTATAATAGCATTTCTACTGCACTTTAGTTTCTGCTGTTGCCGGTGAGGCCTTTCCAACCGTACCAGAACTCATCAGACTGTGCAACTTACAACAAACAGATTCATAATTGAGACAATATTTAAATTACTGCTCATTATATAGTTTAACTCTATTTTATTTATTTTCATCCTTAACATGGTGAAGTAAGCCATGTTTCGTCAAATTTACTGACAAATTTTGATCTATCAGCAGCAAAATGGTTCAAGTTAAGATTTCAGCATTTAATTTTATTTTGTGACCTTTGACTTGTTAAATTATTAAGATCACTACTCTTGTTTTTTTCATTAATTGAAACACGTTGGCGATTACCATGTAATATCAATTTGCAAGAACCATTTTACTCTACATAATTTTGCAGTTGTACCATGAGTTACCAGACATAATGCTGTGTTCCATAATTTATTTGCTGCTCATGGACGCCCATGTTTTTCAGTAGATCAGAACTTAATAAATTCTAATCATACACCATATCAAATATCATTATAAATATCATCATCAAAGCTTCTGAAAAAGATAAATATTGTATCATTTTCTCACATAAATGTGGTTTTCTTACCAACAACTGTGTTGATACCTTAAGACATAAAGTGAAGATTTAATATCTTAAAGATCACCCGCTTTCCAGTTCTTTAAAGGTATCGTTCACGATCGTACCAAAATTGTCCATCAACTCGAACTATAGCTGAATTTCATGGGAATACTACAATTGAGATAAAAAAAAACAGAACTCATATTTTGATGTTAGTTTAAAGTGGGACAAAACATATGATTAGATATCGCTGGTATGATTTATATTTCCCATAGATGCTTTATATTTGTGTGTCCTTTTGTTTGAAGCATACTTTGTTGAGCATAGCAAAAACTGTACAATATTTAACATGTAGTGTTTTGATATTGTTACATGAATCAAACAGAAATCTGTCGTGAGTAAAACTAAAAGAAATTATTCATTCATATGGTATAAGAAAAACTTATTTAACTTCTAAAATACCTCTGTTATGTATGTGATCTTCGAGAGGACGACAAACACTTATACACAAGCGTAATGTATATATGTTTGGCGATATGTTTCACTCCAAATACTATATCTCGTTTCCTAATTGGCACTGAAAATGCTTTCACAGCTTCTTAACTTATCGTGAATAACTTATATTCAACTACATAAGCTCAACAGTATAGTTAAATTTCACTAGTTGAAAATATGTATTCTAAAATATACATTAGAAGAACTGCACCTTCTATACAATTATATAGATGTTGGCCTTGGCCGAAATCTTGTTCACTTAAAATATCTCAAGTAGCTGAAGTGTTTTTTTGTTGTTGTTTTTTCGTCACAGAAATCGTGACATTTTTTATGAAAGTCATGGGCACAGCATGAAATTATTTGAAAAAAACCTAGGACATTTCATATATTTGTATTTTGCTTTTGTAATCTGTTCTTGATATTTATATATTTTTTCTCACAGACTACAACCTTACACTTAATTTGGCGCCATGACTCCATAATGTTAGTCTAAATCAGGAAAAAAGCTTCACTTTGAAAACGTCACTACCTATGACAGTGAACCAATAAACTAGTATTGAAGAGCGTATTTTGTACTCAACAAAACTAGTACGATCTGAATACAATTAATATTTGTATTTCGTGTACATTAAAACAGCTTATGAAAATACTTCACCCAAAAAGTTATACAGACACTTTGCGTCAGTAGTTACACTAACATTTTATTTTTACAGATTACATACATGGTTTCTACCAGAAGTCGCAAAAAATATTACCATAAGTCACACGTGCAGGGCCTCCTAGTAGTTGCATGAAATGGGGCTTGGCTTATTTGTTAGCTGCAAATTGGAAGGTCCATGGTTAGTGTCACGATGCCGCTGAACACGCTGTACACGTTCAACTATGTGCGCATTATAAAAGTGACAGTTAATCCCGTTATTCGGTTCAAAGCTAGACAAAACCCCTTGCGACAGCGGATAGTGATTTCTAGCTGCCTTCCCTCTTCTGGTAAACATTTCCAAATTAGAAATGGCAATAGCTGAATCCTAAGGGTCTCTGACCTGGTCGTTTAGAACCTGTGTTGCATAAGGTGCTGTTCATGCTGAAAATCTCAAATGCTTATATATATATATATATATATAATTTAAACCAAACGCAATAGAATGATTCCCAGAAATTATACACGCATTATTTAACGTAGGTTCTTCTTATAAGAGTCACAGCAACAGCGATTCCTGGAAGTAACACAATGTTTCCTAGACGCTACTCGTATGAACATATCAGATAGTCTCATCAACCACGATTTCTGGAAGTAACAGTGTTTTATAGAGGTTACTCATATGAATTTTACCAAATCTTGCATGAAGAGTTAAAAACGTCACATAAACAATGATGTTTGGATATCATACAAACGATGTTTCCTAAAAATACATACAAATATTATATATATATATATATATAAGGATGACAACAGTTATGTTTCTTATGAAATTTAAACGAAAGAGGGTATGATAAATATTTCTTAAACGATCACATTGAAACAAATAGCGGCACCAATAAAGGAGAGGCAAACAAAGTTAGGGTAGCAACAACAGACTTGGAATTGTAACATGTATTCTTGGAAGAGAAAGAGTTATCTGCAGAAATAGGAAACACACAGCTGTGGATATATATGAATTATGTATGTACCATATTTAACTTTTATTTGAAAGCCTCATATGTGAAATGAAAGTAGAACTTAAGTGTTGAAGCCCACATCTAAAGCTACCGTTTATCATCAGAACTTAAGAAGTAGGAACAAATACTGATGTTCAAGCCCACATCTAAAGCTACCGTTTATCATTAGAACTTAAGAAGTAGGAGCAGATATTGGTGTTGAAGCCCACACCTAAAGCTACCGTTTATCGTCAGAACTTAAGAAGTAGGAGCAGATACTGGTGTTCAAGCCCACATCTAAAGCTACCGTTTATCATCAGAACTTAAGAAGTAGGAATAAATACTGCTGTTCAAGCCCACATCTAAAGCTACCGTTTATCATCTGCCACTCGTAATGAATGGCATAGGCAATAGAATAAAACGAGATTTGTATAAATACTTCGGATAAATCATGGAATAGGCATCCCCTCTGACTGTGACCAAATGAATCTTAATGTGATAACTTTACTCTCATAGTAAGAAAAATCAATGTACTTATGGAATCTGTTTTTCAAACTATATCTACAAAATGGTTTGACAATTCATACTGTAGTATATTGAGGGGATTAAAGGGAGTTGACGTGTGACTTCAAGTTAGCAATAGTGAGAAAAATGTAGGAGCCAGGACAATGACTATCATAGCTTAACCTACTTCAAAGTAATAAATGAGTATATAACACACCAGCTATACTATCAAGAAAAACCAGGATCGAACCCCGGTGCTACTACCAACACAGAAAAGGTCATTCATGGGAGTTCCCTGAAACCAGCAGCTGATTAATAACTGAACTGTAGGATAAAACTAGTTAATGATTATGATATATAG